GTACACATTGATGTGTGGGATTGATGGCTATTGAAAAAAATGTGAGGAGTAATTTTGAACGAAAGGTAGAGATGTGAATTAAAAACTTCCTACTTATAATCGAATTCAATAAATTCGATAACTTCTTCACATAAGAGAATAAAGTTACCTTATCACAAAACATGATTGACATTGAACCGACTTTGGGCTGTATGTACCCATAATGATAAATTTTGGAAGTATAATCATTAATATCAAAGAAATTGTGAAATATTAAAATAAGTGTTTGGTTTCTTATGGTCGCTTTCTTCCCACTAAAATAGTTATTTAATTGATTGTAAATCCTCTATTCATGACATCTGATTTGTGGAAATCCATGTGAAGGATTTAGTTTTGATTGTATGTGGAATTTTCATGATTTGGAAATCATTCCGTCCAAAATTTCCTGGAAATCGTTTCCCTAGTGCTTACTAATTTATTTACTTAGGTCACTTTACATCAATACACAATGAATTAGTCACATCGTCAATTTGATCACTCTATATTAACCAAATATTTTAACCACATTATGTAATATAGGAAAAGTGTAGTAAAAGGTTCGATATCCATCAATATACTAATAGTGTAGAATTAGAAAATTATGGTTAGTATAAAATGTGAAATGACATAGCAACTTTAGAGGAACCAGTATAATTTGCCGTTAACTGTGTTTCTGTCACAATCACATAATGCGAGCCGATATTCTTTAAATAGGAGAAACCGTTTGAACTGTACTTTCACCTGACTAATTATACTATGTGACAATGAAAAAAACATTGATACATAAGGGCACCAAATACATAGGCGCCACACAATAATAATGAAATTGTGAGGAGATAGAGAATGTAAAGTGCATATGAGCGAACGGAGAAAATAACAGACAGAAATTAGTTTATGAGAGTGAAACAATAATGGGAGAGGCAGTTCAGTTAGCAAAGATACAACGAGAAAGCATTCTTCCAGTTAAAGAAGTTACGTTCATTTTGTATGAATAAAGTAAAAGAAAGTGACAGCAGGATTGCCACTGGCTTCTATTCTGAGCCACATCTGATAACGTTTCTAGCCACTGTGTTGCACCATCTGTAGGATCTTAACCATGGACTCGTGAAGAACCAACAGAAGCCAGTCCTGTACATCTTTCTTTCATACCGCGATACCATGTCATACACTGATCACCTCTCCGCTTTTTCCAACCAGTCCCAGTGTAGGCAAATAATTCACGACGTGGGATTTCCTGAGATGATATTCGTAGAACATGTGCAAGTCACCGAATTCGATGTTTCAAGATAGTGCCCCTACTTGAATTTCCGTCGCACTGGTGGGGACAGTCAAATGTATTTGAACAGAAAATTACAGAACATCTTAGTAAAATTTGAGAACCATACACTTAATTCTTCATTTGCAAAATGTCAATCGTCTCAAACTTAACTATTACTTTCGCAAATATCAGTCAATCGTCTCGGACTTCATTGTTCATTTGTTTTCACACCAATCATTTTTTGTTTTCGTTCTCTTTTCTTCGATCTTCCTAACGTTCTGCCGCCAGATATTTCACTCTCGACTGATGATACATACTATTTATATCTGTCGACATCAGTAACACACACTACAGCCGTACCCGAATACACGATGTCGAATCACTGCATTAATAAAATGGTATTGATAGTGGATGTCAGAAATCCTTTGAGACAACGATGATCAAACACAGAGAGTCACTTAACATTGTCAAATCAAAGAGAGAAAAACTGCTGTCACAGCCAGATTGTGAACGTAACATTTAACAGCAAGACTAACATCACGAAGGCTCCAACGATGTCAACTTGGACCGATGCATATGTGTGCATGGGCCTTTGTTGTAGCTGACTGACTGGTTGACTGCAAAAATAACCGAGATTTACATAAGTCGCTCTGGCTTCCAATATACATGAGTTGATCTCATCACTCACGCCACCAACAGCACTCACTGAGCTACCCAAATACACTAACTTCTCGACTACTCATGTTTGCTTACTACCAAGAGTGAGTGCAGGTTTAGGATCTTGAGAGTCTTGTAAAAGTACTTTGCACTGCCAAGGTGCAAAGCAAATGCCATACCCACGGACACTGGTTGCCAGCTGATTAAGTGCAGATTGCATCGCTAAGGTACCATCACACAGTAGGACAATATCATCCGGACACTCAAGGTCGAAGAGTCCTTCTCCAGATAACAGATTGACACCACCATTACCCACATCCATCAAAGTTGATTTCAGACCGTCATTGATGGCAAAGTTGAAAAGGAATGGTTAGATTTGGCAACCCTACCTAGCCCCGCTTCTGGGTTAGAACAATGGAGAGAGGTGACCGTATGCCCCCACCCCGCCAGTGGTGTTTGTATATAGGGCTTTTAAACACACCTTTCTTCAATAGACAATCCCATAGAGCAGTCCTGTCCAATGAATCAAATGCGAGCCTGATGTCGAGAGACACTACGATCGCTGGCTTGTAATAAGTATGAAGGTGTTCTAAGATTTGGGAGAGGGTGAAGATATGACCAATACATCCTCGACCAGGACGAAAACCAGTCTGCTCCTCGCAAGTCAACCTTTCATGGGTTTTGAACAATCTACGAAGTATGACGGAAGTCAATAATTTGGATGCCATCAGAAGTAAACTTATCCTCCTATTGTTTTTAGATAAGTGAAGTGGATTCTTATTAGAGATAGGGATAACTAACGACTCATTCTATGGTGTTGGAACATTCTCTAATTACCAGACATTTGTAGACAATTCTGTCAGTTCTTTAACCAGAGTGTCGCCACCATCCGATCTGTTAGAGCTGACACAACCTCAGCACGTAGTGTACCACCAACAAAACCAGAAAAAAATGCCACAGCGTCCCCGAATAGATACACGTGAAACAAGCTTTTCAAAGCGACAGATTGAGAGCAAATTTGTAGTACTTTACTAGTTTTGAATGCGGGTCTCGGATTGACAACAGACGTCGATATTAAGACTTTCTAAAGACATAACCAACCCTTTCTGTTGTCTGACATTGATTATTGTGCGAACGTTGAAGGAGGCCAGTTTGAAACGCACACGTGGTTTCAGAAAGAATTATTCATAATTCGTATTTGGTGGTAGTATTCAACTTTCGAGCAGTCGGTGACTCGAGATCGTTTAGATAGATAAACACCAATAAACACTGAAAATCGCTTACAGCAGTGGGCTACATTCCTTTCTGGTTATGATTTTATTATCAAATATACATCAACAACCAGTCTTGAACAGGCTAGTGGATTATCAAGATTAATAAACTGAAATCGAACAATCGATGAGGGTTGCGTTGTTAAGGCAGTATCAATTGAAGCAAAAGTAAATCGAGTTATGTCGGATGTGATCGACACCTTTCCAACAACGGCGAATATGGTCTAGGATGCTACGATGTCCAATATGAACTTCAGCAAGTCGCGAAGCATGCGTATGACGGTTGGCTAAACAAATTCGATAATACTTTAATAGAATATTTTCGACGACCCGGAGCTTTGTCTACTACCAACTCCTGTGTGCTGTTTGAGCAACGCCTGGTTATTCTAGCTACTATCAGATCCCTGGTATTGAAACAATTTCGCTCAGGCCACCCTGGTGTACATCGATCGTATGACGGCACCAGCACGCAGTTATGTATATTGACCACTGACGGATAAGGACATTGAAAGTGTTGCAAACAAATGTCCACAGTGTGCATATGCCACAAAGCTGCCATCGAAAACACAGCCGTTCATATGGCTATGTTCAGGAAAGCCATGGCCTCGTGTTCATGCTGATTTTGCTGGGCTAATAAACGATCAACTTTTTTAATCATCATCGACTAATTTGCAAAATGGCCAGATTTATTTAATGCCTCAGACCTCATCGACCTCAAACATGAAGGTGCTGAATAGGCTTTTGGGCAGTTTGCTTTTCCGGAAACACTAGTTATAGACAGTGAACCTCAGTTCACGTTGAACATGTCGAACTTCTGTTTGAAGGACGCAATAACACACCACCCTACCACACCCGGTCAAACGGCCAGAATGAGCGTTTTGGCGAATTTTCATCAAGTCACAAGGGGAGAGAATGACGGAGAAGTTCATCTAGAATAACCCAAAATCTAGCCTCAACCAATGTTACCTCCCCTGCTAGGTCAGTGTCCGGAAGGAAGATTCGGACATCATTTAATGATATGTATCCACAAGGAAGAAGACGAGATTATAAACCCAAGGTGAAGAAAACTGATCGTCAGTTTCCTAGTGGGTTACCAGTGTATGTAAAAAACCTTCAACAGTGTGGACTTATATGGGTAGCGAGTGTCATCGTAAGAACAGTCGGTGACGTGATGTACAAAGGTGATGCTCGAGGAAATCGTTGAGGTGTCGTCCCACAATAATGTTGACATTTAACGATTGCGATAATACCTTCTTAGCCAGTTTTCTAGATTCAAATATCAGGATAAAATATCAAGATTTCGATAATACGGCAGATTTTCTAGTTACAGAAATCGAAAGGCGTTTATATGGTACCCATTGTGCTTGGATTCTTGAACACTTTAACAGATACTCAAGTGAGTAGTAGTCCAGATACTTCGTTATGGCTATTGGTTTTCTCAGCAGACCTTCTAAAGGTGTTGACTGGCTAAAAGTTATTTTGGTACTATGGAGTTTTCTGAGACTTCTTGAAAATACTGATCTTCATCCCATTAAATTATAGACTAACAAAAAACAATTTGAAACTAATCATCTTGTGTAAAAAAATTTTATTTTGACTCTTCTCTACCTCACTTTATTATCAGGACCATATGATTAATTCAGGTCGACAACAGGATAATCAGAAAATCTAAGAAGCGTAAGAGGAAAGCAGAATGAATAGGCAAAGAGTTAAACTGATTACAGATAGTTGTTTACGATTACATTCCAATCAGAAAAGAATTAATCAAATGAACTGAGATAAAAAGCGTCAAAACAATGGTAAGTTTTTTATTATTTGGTTTTAATTCAACACTGTTGAATCAAATATCGATAATTACAGAATTTTCATATCTAGATTTTCTGCTATATGACCTTTCTCAGTAAGGTGTACTAAAGATTGTAATGATACTTATGGCGTACATAGGAACTAAAAACGCATCAACCGTTGCAGTTCAACCTCTTCTTACAGCCTAACATCAGAACATCTTATTTTGTAATATCACATTTGTTGTACTATTCTCTATTTTGTTACATGATCTACAGATCATAGATAGAGTACCACTGTTTACGTATTCAGTAATCAGTTAGGGTGAATATGTTGGTCCTAAAATAATTATTTGGAGACCGAACAACTCGATGGTAATATGCCTGAATGTGACATTATATGATACTTGTCAGAGTACAAAGGGTAGTATCAATTACATTGAGATTATAGGATTGTTATTTTAATAGATGGTTTACACACGGAACTAAGTCTTTATGTCATGATGTTGAGTTTCTTAGACTGATGACCGCACTATACCTTGATCTTTAGAATTCGGTTAATCCTAAAGGGTAGATAGCAAATCACTGGTTATTAAAATACAACTGTTCAGATACTATTTTTACTAGGAGAATTAAGATGTCCTGAACACGGAAAATCTATTCTCCCACCTGAGTTTAAACAAACAGTATAACATCTGTCGTGATTTAATAACTGTCTTGAACGCTGCTGATTTAGACGGATGTTAAATTAAAACCTAATAACCAGTAATATGTGAATTATTTTCAAAAGATTTCCAAATTAACTTTCAGTGATGAATGGTGAGTTATTAAGGATAGTTCACATCACAGCCCAACAGTTTTCGAAAATAAAGTTAGAGATCGAGACCAGGAGCCTCAATCCTCATAAAGAGTATGATACTATTGGAAAACTGACTTTTCAACATCTAATCTACATTTCCAATCACAGTCAACTCGCAATACAGTAAAATTATTGTACAATGTCATTGATGATATCTGTCTTACCCCTAAAATGTCGAAATTCCACTAGTCACGGCTTCTCACCTGAACTTCTAAAATTCGTCTAAAAGTTAGTCAGTAATGAGTACAACTTTGAAAGTTAACGAATCGATATCTCGTTTGTAGACGTTTGTTTTGTTCCATTCACTCAACTATTCTGACATTAACTATAGCTCTATTCTGAATAATAAAAATTAGCCTCATAGCTTTCTAATCGTGAAAAATTAGTTTTTCTATCTAAGCAAACTGTCATCTTACTCATGTTTTGAATCAGTATATTAATTTACATTTTACAAATATTTTTATTGTAGCTAAATACAGATTGGACAGAGATAGAGGTAATCGAATTGATAGTTGATAATGCAACACATCTTGGATTTGGTATGTGTGGAAGTAAGAGCACCGGTGTAATCGTTAGATGCATTACACCTGGTGGAGCAGCTGAACTGGTAAGACAATATTAAAGACAAAAACTCTACTTGGACTATTATGTATTGTTAAAAGTTTATTAATATTTAATTTGAAGGTGTTTTGGGATGCATGTCATTTATATGAAACAGTTATCATTCTCTGGTTTTCGACAAGACTTCAGTTGATATCACTCTATATTTTGTTCAGTAATGATAACAATCACTCGGAATTCTTTCTTATCACCATTGATTAAGAAGTATATTGATCCATAAAAACGAATTGACCGATAGAGAAATATGGATACAGTTATCAGTGGCTAGTTATCACTTGTCTTTATGTCATTGAAAAACCCCACTTGTGTAACTTTGGAATTCCGAATTCCAGTGAGTTATTTGTGTAGCGGCAAACTATAATTATGGTTTTCTCTCTTCGATTCTATTTCCCTTGCATTGACATGTCTGAGTGGATGTCATTTTTACATTAAGATGTAACGTGTTGATTATTGCTCATTTTCTACTACATTATCAAAAAGTTAATGTATGATCCTGTCCGTAGTGACTGTTCACGACTTGGTTATCATGCTTTATCTCTGAAGTAAGAGGTAACATAAATTTTTCTTAGTGTTTAATTTTAATAATTCATATGATGTTAAGTGTAGTACATGATAGTTTTACCTCATCTGTTTCTTGTCGTTTATACTGATTCTTTCTAAGGACGGTCGTCTTCGACTTGGTGACCATATTGTCTGCATTCATGATCATAATGTTCGAAGTTATGGACCAGATCAAGTGGCTACAGTTCTACGCCAAACTATATCAAATTGTCTATCTGAAGTTGTATTAAAACAAGATTCTTTGCAGACGGATGAAACATCCACAAAAACTATGAATAAAAAATCTTCGCTTATCAGAACGCAGCCATTAACAAACAGAACTTCATCAACTTTTACTAATACTATTAATATACGATCGGAAAAATATACTTTATCCCCAAGCCAAATAGATTCAAATCAAATTGAGTCTAATGAAATTCACGAGATCAATCACAAATTAATGAGCGACCCAATAGTTTTAATTCGAATGATTGTAGCTCGTCCAGCTAATGGTAATCCTGTTGATTTGAATGATATCAGTTTAAAACAACAAGCTGTTTGTCATCAACATGGTGTTCTTGGAATGCTGACGTAAGACAAAAATGGTCAATTCTATTAATGTATAATGTTTTGTGTAAATTTTAAAGTAACGAAAATAAACATGGTTCTTTATATGACATGAATTCCGTTCGCTGTTAAAATTAAAGTAACATAGTAACTATTTAAATTAAAATTAAAACAGTATATTGTAGACAGTTGATCATAGTGGGATTCGGAATGGGTATTATATCCTATTTTGTATCCATCATTGTTGATGTCCACGTTAAGAATCAAACACAGCATACATTACTTATTGAACTACATTTCTAGTCATTGTCCAAAATATAATCAAGTTGTAGAGATAGGCGATGTTGAGATATCCACCTAAGGAGCCTATATGGTAGGAGAGACGTATTAAGACTCCCGTACGGTGGTGAAAATTTTCTCAGGTACACCGTAGTGTCGAAGAAGCTTCCACAAGATTCTCCTATCCACACTGTCAAATGCTTTACCATAGTTAAGAAGATTGATGTATGGTAACCAGTTCTATTCACTTGATTGTTCAACAATGATCAATAGTGTCGCGATGTGGTCTGTAAACTATCGATCCTTACGGAATCCAGCCTGTTGTTCTCGAAGTTGAGCGTCCACTGAATCTTTCGTCTGGTTCAACAACACTGTTGAAAACTTTTCCTGATACTGATAGTAGTGTGGTACCTCTGTAGTTCTCACACTTACTGAGTCACCTTTCTTTGTTACTTTGACGAGGTATCCCACTTTCCAGTCTATCGGCACTTGTTCATCCTCCTAAATCCTCTTGAATAGGATGTGTAACAGGTTTGCAGTTACTTCTATGTCTGACGTCAGTGCTTCAGCTTGTATGTTGTCTGATGCTGCTGGTTCTCCACTGTTGATTTGTCTGGTGGCTATGCTGATTTTTCCTATTGTTTGTGGGTTGACATCTATAGAGAGGTTTGTATTTGCTACTTAGATGTCTTGTGAGTTCTGTGGGCCGTATAAGTGCTTTTCATGCTTCCCTGAAGTTAGTCTGTTTTGTCTACATAATGTTTTGACTGAGTTACTCAGAATTTGGCTGAAATACTTTGAATATTCTCGATTTTGTTCGATTTAAAGCGAGTTCAATGTGCTACGTGTAAGTTATTGAAGGAAAATTACTTTTGAACTGTTTCAACATTTACACAAAACTAACTAAGTGTTTATTATCAACTTACTGATAAGTAATTTTGAGATCTATTTTCTATTCAGAAAACATTGCCAAGTAAAGAATAATGTGACTGGTTTCGAATCATGCAATAGAATAAGTCGATTACATCTTAAAATACAAATAACTGAATATTGATTCGTTGGCCCAACTGCACCAGGCTTGCTATGAACTCAATTGCCTTCTATGTCTGTTCTTAGTATTACTATAAAGAAACCTCATGCTAGAACGAAGCGTTTATCCAGTGTTGCTTAATTTTTTGTTGGTTCCCATACTTGATGTTGATCCATGATAAAAATTAGCTCTAAATTTAGGAAGTACATTCTTTTATTATCGGGATCACTAAATACCTGTTTCTCTTAAGATGAGTCCTTATTACGTATTTAACGTTCTATGTGATACTATTACTTTGTAGGATTATACCAACACATCAAATAGATCAATATATAGATGTATTACTACACAAGAAACTTCCACTCGTTGATTTGTACAGTCTATACAAAACAGATCTATTGAACATCGAAAACAATACTAATATTTATAAAAAAATAAATTCAAATGAGGTTGAGTGTTCTGAATTATCAAAGCCAATCGACTATAATAGAAGTGAGCTGATAGAAATGAATAAAATGATTGAATCTTCTCCAACTTCATCGAAACAACAAGAACAGTATGATCTTGATGTAAGTTATTATTGTGATAATAATAATAATATTGTCTTTTCGCCTTTCTATCTTAAAGCTTCTAGTGAAAACTTTTTACTAATAGTCAATACATCTGATTTACTGTTCGTTTAATTCATATGATTCTTTAAAAGACTTCCAAGATAACTGGTTCCAGTGAATATTTCGTGCGTGATCTCTAATTTCTTTATACAATATTGTCCAAACAGTTCTTCCTAGCTCTGTTCATAAGACATCTCATTAAGTTTAATAATATATGGAATAAATATGAAGCTAAAGAAACAAGTGTATTGACAAGTAGATATATTATTTCCATACAAACTTTGAGAAATCAATCTATCTACTCGTTTGTATACTAAGATGCCAAAAAATATAATTTATCATCATATTTATTTTTCTCTGTGACTGGGGAGTGTATACTTTAACATTGTCTAAAACACTCGTTTTTATGAATGTTTTAATTGACAATGTCGAATGCATTGTTGATATAACAGCAGAGTATATCCAGTTTCTCAAAAGTCTCTTTGACAGACTTACTTATTTTATAACCTCGGGAAAAAAATTATTAGTTAAAATAATCATTACAGATAAGTTCTCCATTATGCAATCAGTTTGTCTATAAATTTCATTACTGCAAAAAAAGCGAACGCGTATTCCACATACTGCAAAATCAGAACCGTCTTTTACACCCTTCTCTGAAACTCTATTGTATAAATATTCCAAGGTTTGAACTAAGCATTTTGTATTGATCTGACCATCAGAGATTTGGGAAAAACATTTTGTATTAAATATCGTAGATTAAAAATTCTGTGATTGTACCAGTTATGTATTTTTTTCTCTGATAATTTAATTCGATTGGAAAATAATTTATACGAATATTCGTCAATATTAGGATGAATAGATTGACAAAAGTTGGGCGCCGAGTATAGAGAAGTCATTATATGTGAAAGTTATAACCAGTTTTGTTACTTTAGTTTCAGCAGTTTCGAGAGATGAAACCGTGCTCGACACTTCAGGTTATAACAAGTCCTCGAAATTGCTCAGAATCAGGTAGTGAAGAGGTTCACAATAATCTACCAAGTCGAGTTATTGAAAATGATCGCTTAGATAGTAAGTTTAAAGATTTTTAAAGAAATATACTTATCATGTATTATTTACGAAGTGTGGTCTAATTGTATTTAATTACTATATTCTCTGAGTAGCGTTTGATATGGTGGTTAAAGTCTTATGTGGTGTGCGTACGAGTGATGCTCAAAATTGATTTTTTATTACTCACGTGTTGGTTATCGTGAAATTTTGAATTGTGTTAATTTATCCTGTTGTTGTCAGTAAGGATTTGTGGAGGTTGTTGAATCTCATTGAAATCTTGAAGGGACCCAAGTTAGATCAGCACTGAAAACCCAGGAGCACTGGAAGGCCGTTTCATTCTGGTGTTAAACACGACAATAGGCAGATGGGAAAGAGCAGTTACAAAGTATTTACACAATACATATACATAGCCTTCAACTGTGTACTTGCGTCTTCCGGTGTGTTCCGAAAACTGGACTGTCTTCTAGACAGACCTCCAAGTGCACTGCCAATGCTGTGCTTTCAAATCACTGAAAGTCGTCACTTTGTCCGACAATTGTTGCAACTTCTACACCACATTTCGCCATACAGTATTTACAAAAATCTTTGTGATTAACATTCCCTACATTAGTATGCCAGGTTAAGTGTTCTCAAGCGAGACAGAAGGTCCTGAGCTTGATTTTCACTTTCGGGGTTGTGGATGTTCACTGCTGAAGAGTTTTTCAATATTAGTTCAACTCAGATCGATTCAATATTCGAAGGAATACCAGATTATTGACTTACTGTTGTCAAGATCTACTAAGTTTAATCAATTCAAATATGAATATTACTAGGTGTGAATAAAAGATAAAAAATCACTGTATCCGGATAGAGTTCTGATTTATTTTTGGTGTGTAATATTTATTTATCTATCTAACTAACTAATTGATTAACTAACTAACCACCTGTCTATCTAACTATCTATCTGTCTTCTTTGCTTTCGTTTTGCGTGATGAGTAGTATTTCGTCGCTTGTAGTAATTTTCAAAAAGTTATATCTCTGTGTAATTCCAGAGTATTCAGTTTTGCTCTTTAGATAAACACGGACATCAGGTCTACATAGGAATGAGCATATTGGAACTATTCTACAATCAAAAAGCTGGTTTCTTCTATTGGTCTTGTCTGTAACTTATTGTGCCACGTAGTTCTAATATCTTCATTTGTAATTATATTCCTATACTAATGGGCTAAGTACATTGTCTGTTAAAACAAATGGTTAATACAAAGAGTAAAGCTTATCTTCTCACTCATCTACACGGAAATTTCTTCAGTCACTTGTATTACTCTGTGGATGAAATATTTGTTACATTTTTGATGCTTAATGTTCTGTTCATAAAGCCAGTGTTCATTACTGAACTGTTTAGTCTCTTGAATAATTTAAGTTCACTGTTAGCTGTATTAATATTCCTGGTCATAACACTGAATGACAAAAGTTGAGACCACATCAAAAAATAAGTCTCTTAATATTAAGTATACCACTTTTCGACCAGTTTCAAATAGTACAAGATCTATGTCAAACAGGACCTACTGTCTCGAATTTTCAACAATCTAATGTGATTCGCTGAGTAGATAGTAGCTATTGGAACTCATTATTCCTATGGATGGCTTACTAATATGTGATAAAGTGATGGTATATTCAAGGAAACATGTATCTCAACTTTCTTATGTAAATACTCAATGAAATTAAAAGTCATCCACGAATTTCCTTACTTCTATTTTCATTGCCCGCATACAATAATTATTTTACATACGTATTTTAAAGTAAGCAAACCCTTTGATAAATTTTGATCGAGCAGTAAAAAAATGGAGTTGGTCAGAATTTTTGGGACAGGGAAATATTTTTTGACAGCCACATTTGAGAGGTTGATGTCAGATGGTAACCGTCTTACATTAATGAATTCTACACAAGTTTCTTAGTTAATACGTGCGTAATAGGCCATAAGATACAGGTATGGCAATCCGTTTTCGGGACAGTAGTTGAGATTGCCGGATACTCTGTAAGTGCCTGATACATCAACGACTGTGAACGTGTTGAATAATGCAATGACCTCTGTCACCGGTAGGTGTGGGTGATGCTTCAATCATTAACATACAACAACTGTCAGTTTATCTTGAAGGCAATAAATTTGAGGTTGACGTTCGATTATCGTTTTGTTTTTACAATCTGCATATTTTGAGGACGTGCTTTCATTCAAAATTCAGTCCTTAGATGCACAGTAGAAATTGATTTGAGTACGGAAATACTACATGTAGGACTTTAAAGTTCTTTATGTCGTTTCTGTGAAACTGGTATTGTTCTAAAAGTTAGGCAGCCAGTCACACTGCATGAGGTCATCGTGAACTTTCAAAAGAATTCGCATTTAACTAACTCATGCTGTTATCCTATTTACTAAAGTACAACATCCATTATATGATTTGATTAGCACAATATATAGATTTGATTGTTACCATGCTATATCATCATTCTTTGATGATTTTAATTATGATTATTACCCGGAAGAAATCTAAACAAGTTTGTTGGACGAAATGTTGGAATTATTTTTAAATTTCAATCACTGAGATTATTTCAAATATAATTTTCACATATAATTAAAATAACTGGTTTAGATTCATTATTCACATCCGCCCACACATTATTGGACAATTTTTTACACACCTCTTACCCTTTGTACTCTTCATACCTGTCTTGCACTAGTCATAGTTTTGTAAGTGGTATTATTATTAGTTATTAATGTTGCTTTAAGACGAACATAAAAGCCAATAATTTGTTCAGCGATTGCCCTTTCAGTAACAGTGAGTTCTAGCAACAACACTATCAGTAGTTTAGATTCATGTGTGGACGTATTCCAACCAGAGATAATTTGTTTCATAGTATTTTATGTCTTCATATATGATAAGGTACAGCTAGACATACTGGGGACGTATTTCGATAATGCTTAAATCGGTCACTACATTTTTTGAAAATATTTATTGTTATACCTTTAAAATTTATCGTTAATGCTAAAGAAAAAAAATACTACAATTGCTTTAATGTAAATAAGTAGTGCTAACTTTACATCAACAACACACGATTCACAGACGCAGAAAAAACCCATATACACCAGGTAAAATAGAAATAAATTATTTCTTGGATGAATAGTGATATACAGAAATCCTAACACAATGAAAGGTAACAAAAAATTTAAATAATTGTGTAAATGACTTTAAACAGGGTTTTTTTCCAGTCAGTCAATCACCATATGACTAATGGTGAATTATTCTTCATATTGTATTGTTCTGGTAATAATTGATCCTTATATGCACAGATAAAACGAGTCATTTAATGCGTCAACCGTTGATAAGTAATTTTGAAATTATAATATAATATAATAGATTAAAAATTTTTATTTACCTGTCCACGTTCTTTATAAACCTCGAACGGGGAACAAATGAATAATGTCCAATCTCACCCTCTACAATTTTAATTAGAATTGGAGATAATACATTCAACAAAATACCCTTTACGAGATGTTAAGAAACAAATGTAATTAACATAAAAGGTTATGAGATTTCACAAAAACTTTATTTCAACAGCTATTACCGGTTTATATTCCGTAACAGAAATGGAGACCGTAGGGCAGAAGTTTTATGATGGGTGAAGGTAATGGATAACTCCATTAGATTTATATCCAGAGCCGGAATTTAATAGAGAAGTGAATATTCGTTGTTGGTTCTTCGTGTTTCATCAAAATCAAGTGCATTTAAGCAACAAGTAGACAAATCAGTTTAATCAGCAATGGCAAAGTAAACGTAATACAAATGTAAAACGATTAGTCTCTTTTATAAATTTTGACCGAAAAATGAGAAGGTGGAGTTTATTTGACCAAATTGTTCGAATGAATGGACGCAAATACATCACACTTTTTTGCTCAACCACATGATGCAGATTATTGTCATCGTCCAGCTGAAATTCCTGAAATCGTACCAGGGGAGTGATGTAACTTTAAGGTAAGGCGTAGTTCCCTGAACCTCCTTCATTTCAATGCACAAATTGGTTATCCGGAACGCACTTTCTGAGCCCATGATTGTGTTTGAAATCACTATGCCAGTGTATGCTAAATTACTCATGCTCATAGTTACTAGAATATGTCAAGCCAAAAGTTATTCTTTGTTTTTATATTCCTCCTAAAAAAATAGTGACCAGTGATTCCATTTTTAAAACAATTGATCCCACTGCAAAAAAAGGAATGAAAGAAGCTTTAAAATGGGTTGAAAAAACCTGTTATTAGAAAAAACGGGTATGATAATTTCATTCTATATTACATTAATTTTTTCTCTTCCTATACAATTATCGCTTTATGTTTATTGAATCTTTTATTTAATTGACCTTTATTAGTGCCTCGACATGTATATGTTTGTCCATATTGTTTGAAACGTACAGTGTACATCCATCACATTTTTCAAATCAACTCCGTTTTATTAACTGCTCTATAAAATGAATTTTTTTTAATAAATAGTTTCATGTTAGTAACAAATAGTTGCTTCTATTATTCTTTTTCATAAAATCTATTCAATCAAGATAAATATAATGAAAATTTAAAAATCGATTGCAACACAATATTGAATTATCAAAACTACTCCACTGATCATTCTATCTCATCTACTTTCAATGAATATGTTCTTGAAAATATAAGTCAACAAGGCTTATCAATTCATGTTAATAATGAACAAGAAAATGGCGATGAAGAGGCAGAAGAAACTGAAATTCACACTGTACAATTAACAAAATCAAAGGATCAAGGCTTAGGTCTAAGTGTAGTTGGATATATTTATAAAAATCCATATAATAGTAAGTTAGTAATATGCTTTTTTATGAAATGATTATGATCATATACAAATTTCTTAAAATTAACAACACATTGGAACTATGAAAAATTCATTCTCAATGTGATAATTTATTTAGTCAATATCCCTTCATGGAGTACCAGCTCCTTCAAGGTTTCTAAATCATTTTGTTCACAAGTAATGACCAAATTGAAATATCATCAGGTTTCATGACAGTACACAGTGGTATTGTGGCACCTGATTAAGTGACAACAATTTATTATTCCATCTCTTTGTCTTCGTCACGAATTTACACATGGGCAGTGAGATGGTAGGGAAGCTTTGTAACTCAGGGAGATGATTGTGATAAAGATACGTAATATGAACCCGAAAAAACTCAGAATTTTATCAACATCTACTATATAAAAACTCATATTTTAGTGTGCGGAGCTAACGCATTAAAAATGTCTCATAAAAAGGCCGTGTGCGACCGGCCTCAAGATGCTAACCCTTAGACTCTGTAGTCACGCTACCGGGCCACTAAAACCACCACTAATTCAGTTTCCTTTTCAGGTCCCTCAACAAGAAATATCCTTCCACGGTGTGAGCAACCAGTAAGTAACAACCGCTCTCATACCTTTAACAGCACCCGAGATCATATTGTTCACCATCAAATCTCCTATTCACCTTTTAATAATTCTTCCATCCTCATGACCAACCTTTCCCATTTATCTTTATTTTCACGTGCCACCAATGCTAATGATTTAAGTTCATGAAATGTTATTTCTGGTCTCCTGAAACCACTCTCTAAACCACATGTCGGAGCTTTTAATGTTCAAACCTTCTGTCACATAGGACAACAAGCTTTTTTAGCTAAGACTCCAGAATCTCGCTCCATCGACGCATGCTGCGTCGCCCGTGCGCGCATACAGGATCCAAGTACAGTCATTTGTTTGACCCTACCTTATCAACATCAAGAATCCTTGCGATTTACCCTTTGAGTACCTGGAGACCCCATTGTCACTTCCCGTGGCTTAACTGGTGTAGGTATCTCACTTAGTTCAAAAGTAGAACTGTCTTGCCCAGATTGGTTCTCAGTAGACAGTAGTGTATGTATTGCCCAACTAAACGGAACAGTAACAAATTGAAAGGACAGAGACACGCACCATTATCTCTTCACTGTCTCTGCTTATGCTCCCACAGATTGCAGCTCGGATGAAGCAGATCATGAATGTTATAGGAAGCTATAGAGCCCCGTTCAAAAAGCCAAACGCTCTGATGTAGTAATGGTGACAGGTGATTTTAATGTTCAGGTAAACTGAACCAGACCGAAAGGCACTTAGGCGGATCTTACAGTGTTGTGGCTAAGTGAACAGAAAATGGCGACTGTTTGCTACAACTATGCTCAGATAACCAAATATTTATGGCTAACACCAACTTTAAACATAAAGAGAAACATCTTTTGGCGTGGTGAACTTCACAATCGACTAATCGATGTACTCAAATTGATCACATTGCCATCATCCATCGTTGATTGTACTCGATTAAAGACTGCTGCTCATTCTGAAGCACATTCCTAGACTCGAATCAAGCAGTAGTTAGAGCACGTATCTGTCTGCGTATTACTGGACGGAGAAAAGGCACAGCAAGAAAACCCTCTAGAATTTAACTTGATGATGAAAAAGCTACGAATATATTTCAGAACCAACTAGAGAAAGAATAATTCAACCATGAAAGTCATTTCTACTCCGAGGCAGTTTGGAATGATATACAAAATCCTGGATGTAGATGTACAGACTAATTATTCACTCCGAAGAAGGTTCTGGAACATAGATTAATTCTACGATGTCCAACCATAGTTGTATTCCTTGTGATTAGGGTAGCGTTCGACTTCATTGATTGTGAGGTTGTGAGGCAGTGTCTGTCATTGAAAGGCGTACCGAAGTCGTACACTGACCTTGAACAGACTTTCTACCCAAACACTTCAGAGGTTGATTTTCTATCAGGAGATTCACTTGTTGGATGGAATAAACAAATGATATAGTTTTATTTTGTGAAGATACTGACGAAATCCAGCCTTCCAACCACCTTGATCAACAATGCAAGCACATTTGAAATGAAGTTCTCCTCCTCCAAATCCGAACTGCTACTTCAGGATTGGCTTGGGTTAGAGCCTAAAATAATGATATCATAAAAAGTAGTTGAGCATGTCGATCGCTTCATTTATCTCGAAAGTCTCATGAATACCGATGGTCTGGTATTTGACAAAATCTAGGCATGGTTTCATAGGGCTAGAGTAGCTTTTGTAAACTCGCGTCACTCTGTAGCGTAGGCGAGATATCTGTCTTCCAACCAAAAGGACGAGTTTACTGTAATGTGTGCTACTTATACGGACAGATATAATTAGCATGCATCAAGAACTGGGAGTAGGGTTCTTACTCACAGAAAAGGAATATCAGGAGAAAAGAAAGAAAAGCAGAAGTAGTCCAATAAGTGATAGGAATGAAAGATTGATGAAGCTTGTCAGAGACAGTTCAAGGAAATTGTGCTAATGGTGTATTCAATGTACACTACGTAAGTCTTTGTTCATTAAAACTCACAGCATTTCACTCCGTTCTACTTTATGAATGTGAAACGAAACCATTAAAAATGGAGGATATTCGTTGGTTACTACTATCCTATCATTGTTGTCTTCGAAGCATCACTCGTGTATGCTTGGAACACAGAGTTAGCTATACCTGGGTTAGTAATAGAGTACACCTTCATCCTCTGATCTTTCAGAGGTTGGTTTTCTATCAGTAGGTTCAGTTTTTGACTTAGAATACCCAAATGTTATAGTTCAGTTTGGTGAAGTCTTTGACAGAATACGGTCTCCTGATCAACATAAGAACAATGCAAACATGTTTGGAATGCGGATTGAATTGCGTCATCGCCTGAATTAGTGATAGGGAGTGAGGTAATTGAGTGTTTCGATCGCTTTACTTATCTAGGAAGTTTCATCAGTACTGATGGTCTGGGGTTTGATAAAATTTCGGTAGATTCAGAAAACTCGATTGGTTTACGGTAACTTGAATGAACGGTAGCGTAGGTGAGATAGCCGTCTTCCGAACAAAGGACGAGTTTACTGCTCAGCAGTTTGCTACACTATACTTAACGGGTGTTAAACATGCTTATATTTGCTTGTTATCCTTCAAGGAGGATCATAAGTCACTCAATAGCAGTCCCCTTCGAATCCTTTCCCATTGCGATTCATTCTCTTGATATCTACTTCCAATCCCCTCCACAATGTGTTCCTTGGTCTTCCTTTTTGCTTTCTCTCTTCAGAATTTCAGGCTAGTGCTTGCCTTGCGATGAAGTTTGGTGATTTCCGCAATGTTTGTCTTATCCACCTCCAACGTCTTTTCCTGATTTCCTCTTCATCTGGAAGTTGTTTTGTTCTCTCCCATAGTAGAGTGTTGCTGATGGTATATGAACCATGGATATTGAGTTTCTCCATCTATTCGTTGGTTACTGCTATTCGATCATTGGTGTCTTCTAAGCATCACTCGTATATTTTCGAAACATAGAGTATGCTATGCCCGGGTTAGGAATCGAGTACTAGCTAAATGATGGGAAATCGGTTAGAGAGGTAGTAAATCTTCATCATCTGAGATGGTTTGTACATGTGTTACGCATGCCCGATCGCCGCCTACCTCGAAGCGTGATGTTTTCTGCTGAAGGATTAATTTGAAAGAAAGCTAAGGGTGCCCAAACCAAAGCATGTCGTACGTCCATGATGTCACTGATAATCGGACTTAACCATGCTTATATGAATAAACTACCTGGATGTGTTCTGTATGATTACTGAAGTCAGTGGTTAGATATTTTGAATGACATGGCTTACAGTCGTTCGCAATGGCGCAGGTGGATTTATTCTTTGTCTTCCTCTAAATTCTGAGTTTCTTAATTCCTCATGATCGTTTCTGTGTTTTTATTTCACTAATTTATATTTTATTCTCGAGTCATATTTTCTATATCTAACCTTTCCTATTACCGCTGATGCTGTAACTACCTCTACTATTCTGGGATTTAACTTGTGGAGAAATGTTAACGGTTCGCTTCTATTTAAAGTCCGAGCTGATGATTTCCTGTAGACGGATGATGAAAGTTTCATGACTGTTGAGTCAGCTTTCCGAGAACTACAAGGGAGCCTCCAGAGGCCCTAAAGCAGCCGAAGAGTTCCAGCCAATCAGAGCATGATAGATCTTTCTAGGAATATCAACGTGGCATGCTAGTGTTGGTCAGTAGCATAATGTGTCTCTGAGCGGATTGGCCAAAATATAATGTTGATTTGACAAATGCTAATATCTTTAAATACCAGTGTTTTCTGTACAAAAATGAAGATTGGAGTAAAGTGCTTTTCGCTTATTTTGCGCCTTTGCTCTCGTGTTCAGGTCTCTGCGTAGTTCTAGCTTGAGGGTTACCAGAATAGCTTAGGAATCAAATAAAGGGTTCGAATTAAAAAGACTTATCACTGACTAAAGTATCCAGGTCAGAAAACACAACTTTACCAAAGACATAAGCATTGCTTTGGTTATCACCAAGTAATCAGTTATGTGAACTCCGGTAATTGAAAGCTAGTGAATTAACATTTTACCTCTTTGGAAAACAGAAAACAATATCAACCAAAAAATAAACTATGGATAGTTTCACACTTCATACAACACAGTTTCAATTACATTCATAAGTTATTTTTTAATTTCTCTCATGATTGCAAGTGACAAATGACAAGTAAACAATCTAATGTTTTGAAGCTTCCAAAAATAATTACATAATGAATATTTTCAAGTGTTCAGTACATAAATACCGAATTAGATTGAAAGTACGTCAAATTGTGAAGTGAAACTTTATATTACGTTACTAAATGAAAAACATGTGATTATCGACAAATAATAGTCATTTACTTTAAGAAAGGTTACTTTAAATTTATGAAAATTTCAAAGAAGATTTGAATAAATCAAAGTCGCAGTACATCATGAAGAAACGGTGAAACTTTGGGAAAACGATTATGAGCTATTACCCTAATATATTTTAGGTGTTTTTCTCAATATTTCTCCCGTTAGCAGAGAGTAATGTTGATTGGATTACTTACATACACCCGTATAACTGAACTGTTTGTATCATTATTAAACATATCTACTAACTCAGAGTAAATTTCATACATTCTAGTAAGTCACCTTGATTGGGAGAGTTGAGATATGCTGGTTTGTGATGAAAGTATGTTTCATGAAACTAGATGATGATCTATTTCTTAGGATACGCTATCTATATCACGTGCTGAATTTACCAGTCGGACTTTCGACTATACCGCGAGTTTGCTATTTCATTTATATCCTAGAGACCTTATCCATAATAATAATGGGTTTTGACTGAAACAACTGACCTTGAGCTTACATGAGCCATACTACTATTGATTCGTCTATCCGAAAGCCTTTTCTCCATCTCCGACCTTAATTCCAGAGAAAAATCTGCACTCAGGCTCTTATTAATAATATATTTTAATTATCCAGACCAACCAGCCAGCATAACATCTGTTTCAAACAGTCACTAGATAATATGCACGTACTGTCGGATCCTGAAGCAGATCGAACAAGAAGTAATATTTTAAACACCATGTCATAAGTGTCAGAGCTAAGTAAACAGTAAATAATTAATTAGCGATAGTTAGGGAACAGTAAAAGGCATAACAGTAGTTGGTAAGTCCGCTGGGAGTTTACGATACGGCGAATGTGAGAACACAATAGTAAAGTTATCTATAAATTATGCAGTAAAAATATGGACAATAATAATAATCCGAAAAATAGTTCCGAAAGTTCTGACTTTTCCTATACTCGTTCCATGATAACAGTCTCACTATATCACATTGATTTTCCACTCAGTTATCTTTAGAAGCACTCTTACAGAGAGACAGGAAGGTTCTGGGTCTGATCTCTGATGTGATAGTAGGTGAGTTCTTTTGAGAATTAGAACAACACATATAAGTGAACAATATTGTTTTCAATTAGATCGTCATCAGACTTTACTGTAATATACATGAATATTTATACGAAAATGTTAAACCAATCAAGGCAATATAGGTCAATAATCACAATGAAATAGAATAAGTCTCTACACATAATAGGTAAAAATACAAATTGATAGTAGGAAGACAGGTGTACTGATAGTGGTAAGAATAATAAAATACGATCACAAAACTCTTATCAATAGTTAATCGTTGGAAATAGAAGGTCAAACATGGGTGAATAGACTAGGCATAGTAATCACAAAACACTAAAATCATTACGTAATAAGATGTGTGTAAATAATTAGATAGTGAAGAATATAAAGAGGCGGAAAATTACAAACAAATAATGGATGTGGAAATAAGGTTAACGATAACAAAAATAGAATAAAATAAATAGATAATGATAATAACAGAAATTTGTATTTCTACCTATTATGTGTAGAGACTTATTATATTTCATTGTGATTATTGACCCATATTGCCTTGATTGGTTTACATTTTCGTATAAATATTCATGTATATTAGAGTAAAGCCTGATGACGATCTAATTGAAAACAATTATTCGCTTATGTATGTGTTGTTCTAATTTTCACAATGGGAGTCACCTAGACTGGTGGCCACATTGCAACATGATCGATAGCATTCGATCTGCACTAATAAGGACTAGACAAGCATGAGATTGATCACCACCCAGTGATCAATCAATTGTGATTACATCTCAGTCCTACAGGAGGTTAGTCACGGCTCGGATAGCTCAGTGGTAACGTCTCTGACTGTGAAGCTGGGTGACACGAGATCGAATCCGCCAGGGAGCACCAGTTCCCTCAAGATTACAGGTACACCTTGCTGACGAGTGCCAAGTAGCACGAAACCCGGGTCCAGGGTTTCCTGTTGACTACCTCCAACCACCATCGAATCTTTAATATTCTTTTGAGAAGACATAAACCAGGATTAAACAATTATTTAGTGTGTCATGGTTACGATAGTTCCTCCTCAGAAGTCTGTTGAAAATAAAAACCGAAACAACGTGAGTTTCAAGGTAAAGTGACTTGAATGATTTAGAATAAGAGAATATCATATGAATGACCCAATTTATCTTGACTCAACCGACCCACAAAGAAGTGAAAAATTAATACACTAAAATACAGATCATACTATACTTCCTGTTTGAGTCAGTCCTACAGTCTGACCGACGACGATGTTGCATTGGTCCTCCATAAGCACGAGTTAATACACAGGACGATTCTAAGCATTATTTATGAAGTGTGACTAAATAGATTTATTTAAAATGTTCCATCCGGTTATTCAAACCTACTAGTGATCTAATATTAATAGGTCTAATACTACAGATTCTATGTCAAATGAGTAACATGAATTTCCAGATCCAGTTAGGTGTGTACAGTTGGGGAGCCTCAAACCAGGAAAGACTAATGACTCATTGTTTCTTTTATTTCAGTAGTCCACCAGTTGAGTTGTATCTGTGATGAGAACTACCTCAAAAACTGAACTGATTTTTACAATCAACTGACGAAGCAATACCTATAAATAGTGAGACATGGATTATACATAATAAAGTGTCCTTCAGATAAGTATCATCAACAAAGAAATCAAGAGTTCACTTCTAACAAAGAGATCGGTGTTCTTACATTAAAGAAAGATTTTCATATATTGCTTGAATTGACTAAAATGATTCTTAGTTCTCGATTTCTTTTCAGCACATGCTTCATCACATGTGAGAAACATTTATTGAATAGGAAAAAACAGAATATAACTATTTGTGCTACTAACACAACTTAAGGTAGACAAATAATAAATCATTTTGGTACATATTATGTTTCTCTTTTTAGAAAATGCATACAATAAAGGAATTTTTGTACAAAAGATCACTCCCAACAGTATATCGGATAAATCAAAATCAATTCAAGTAAATGATCAAATAATACAAGTGAGAATAAACGTTCAGTACTATTGGGTGTTTCTTATTAATATTATATATTCCAAATAGCCGCTTTTATTTATTTAGATAATGAAATGACAGAACGAAGTTGATGAAGAATATTTATTCCATGACTGAAAGAAAGGTGGTAAAATATATTACAGCAGCAAATCTTTACACTGATATGTCTTAATAAATTTTATTTTGTATTGAAACCAATAGTTCGTCTTGCAGACAAGTTTAGTTATTTCTTTGTCACGTGTTAACTGTCAATAATTTCATATTCTATTATTTTTAATCCAAAATAAACAACTGTATTAAATCGGTTAGGTTTATTACCACACCTAGAAAGAGGTGTTTACCTTATTTACAAGTGAATTACATCTGTACAGCCTCTTCAAAAATCCAATGCCTTTGAAGTAAACTGTCATCGGAGCCCTCTAAGATTCTAGAAAAAAAAGATGGATATAGAAATAAAGTAGATAACTTTCACTTCAACGCAAGAAACTATAGTACGATTACTTTTAAAGAATCTGCTGACGAAGAAAATAGCTGAAAAGAGGAGTTATTAAACTAGATAACCAAAAAGCTATTGTAATATATTATATGTATAATTAATCACCAACATACTCGGTCTAAAAGATAATCTACTTCCATGTGTTCAGTGATTAGCCAGTTGAAGTAAACGTTTCTCATTATAGAGTATTTCTAACAAATATTCAGAAGGAATCGTTAACGAGCATCTTCATTAAAAAACTAATCGAAATGATCTAGTGTTTTTGTAAACACTGTCAGCTATCATTGTGTTGAATACGAACTTCGGTTGTCTGATTAACGACAGTATTTACTGGTAAGTTAATGAAAGCGATAACAAAATCCAATAAACTTTCACTTATTTGTATACTATCTAGAGACTTTCCTGAAAATGAATTTCTCAATGTTTTGATGAGAATGCATGATCTTTGATGTCTATGAAGTAGGAGGATGAAATGCTTGTGCTGTATTTCACTACAAGCCGCTAACCAACTTTAATTAAAATGTCATTTTATTAGTTTTCATGATATGAGGTATAATTAAGTAGTATAATCTTATATTTTGAATTTATCATGCCATATTTCCTGTTTTCACATTCACAGGTAAATGAAATATCTCTAAGTGGTCTAGATAACATAAAGGCCATTTCAGTTTTGAAGAAGTCTGATGCAAGTATCACACTAAAATTGAAACGCTACCTTTGTGGTTTCCTTTGTAAAGAACTAAAAAAAGCGGGTATTACTTTTAAACATTATAATTGATTTATTTATCATGTATTCAGATGAACAGTTATAGAAAAAAGTGGAGATGACACTAACGCCTAAAATAATAGTAATGAATTTAGTTATGAATTTGTTCGCTTTTAACTATTCCAAACTGGTAGGCTTATCACTATAATTGATAACTTTAAAATGGAATGAGCTTGATTTGTTTTATGAAGGACAACAAATAATTTTTATGATGGAATTTCCAAATCACATAAAGATCCCATAATTTTCGTCTGTCATACTCGTTGCTCCAACCTTATGAGGTATATGAATATCGAATTGTCGGAGAACACGCCGGTTGTTTAATCTCCCTGTCATCAGTTTGACACCTTAGATCAATGTGCAAGTCCTCATAGTTTAACAAACTAACAATGAAGAAGCTAGGTATTATCCTTGGTTTAGGGTTAAGATCATGATAAAGAGAATTAAAACTGAAAAATTATAGATCTGGCCATAAAAGGAATAGTCAGAAATCCATAAGGGAATATTAGCTGAAAATTTATACTTAATATCAATATTGATTAAAAACAGCATAAAACTCGAAGCACTTTATTTGCTATCTTCTTAACAGGGGTTGCCATATATTTTAGAAAAGTATTTTCGTCTTAACCCTATGGATAATATTCTTGTTCAGCCCAATATCTTTCGTTGGGCTAACAGATAATATTTGACTGTTGAACGGCTTCGTAAAGCCATACATATACGGTCCGGAAAGAAGTATCTGAAGACCTATCAAATACTTCATCATTGAATATTGTATTAACAAACAGCATAACGAAGAATACATCCATCAAAGTCATCTGAGAGACAAATAAATATTACTTGAAAACTTCACGATTACATCATTCACCTCAGGGAACCTAGAGCCTTCAAAGCTCACTTCTGGTCCATAAATACTCTGTAATATCTCAAAAACTGAGTACCAACAAAACTGTTTACTTTTAATTTCTTAAGTTATTTAACGTTTCATTCTGTTTACACAATCCACTTGCTTACGATAGATATTCGAAAATTTCTTTTCTTAAACTGTTTCTTAGCTTTTAATGGTGAACTTGCAATTATTTGGCAACTGTTTTTTTCAATATGGTGTCTAGACATCTAAATTACTAATTATTTAGGCTCACAGTCGTTCGTTAAGGAACTATAGGTGTAAACAGGTCAAGTTTATTTGCTTATGGGTTTCACATTCAATAAATCGGCTTTAATGATAACTAACATTTATTATACAGGGAGTAAGTATCTTCAGTTTGAAGTTTGTAGGTTAGTGTACGAGTGTTTGGCAGTGGCAAGTGTTAAGTTCAAAACACATTTCACATATCTACACAAGTGTTACTTTCTGAGTAATATATGACGATAACCCTAATTTTTATAGTTAAGCTGTGATAAATACATGGTAGATTATTTTCCTAATCCTAAACTGTATTTTCCACACATAAACACTTTCTATACATAATTTTAATTTGCCTCTTAATATCATTTTCTAAAAGGTTCTTTCCAAATAAGCAATAATGAACCACAAAATCCATTGGTAAATCATGATGAAATTTCAGACTCTGATCTAAATTCAGATCAACCATACTCAGTAGACAATAATGTATTGAAGTATAATGTAATCAACAGTGAAGCGAGTGATTCATCAAATCAATCAGCGGTTAGTATATTGTATCAACACGAGAATTATCCATTAAATAATACTAATTTTGACCAATCAAATACATTACACATGGAATTAACAGAAGGATTTATCGATTCATCATGTACGTGTTTACATGGTTATGAAAGTATATTTTCAGAAGAAAAGGAATTTAAGGAAATGGTGTCACCACTGGCGAATAATAAAAATAATCATGATCAATTAAGTCCAGTGGCTTTTTCTGACCAATTATTAATCAATAAAAATTGTAAATTATTAAACCCAGCAAATGTTAACTTAGTTGATAACATAGAATCATTTGAACAACAAACACCCGTAACAATGATGGCAACCACAATAATAAATAAACAGGAATATCAAGATGTGAGTACCGATCAAAAAGGTGAAGAATTCACCAAACGTATCTGTGGTGTTGGAAATAATGGGATGTTGGTAATCAGTAGGTTCACGCCTAATTTTGGCATTGAAACTACATCTAAACCGGAAACGAGCAAAAATACATCCAGAAATATCAGTGATGTTTTGATTCAGATCAATAATAATAATACTAATAATAATAATACAGCCATCGGATCTAAAGAAATAATTGATCAAAATCGTCTTGGGAAAACGGATCACATCAATTCATCAAATGAGGAACAAATTAAAATAAGTAAGTTTAGTAGGACTACTTTCGTGTTCCTTCCTATAAATATTTTTTTCCGGGAATTATGGTATTCAAGTGATTTTTTATCCATATTCATATCAGTTGATTGTTCTAAAGTTGTCAACATCACCATTAGAAGATATTTTTATTCACAAACTGGGGTTATCTGGAAATTAGTCAAAAATCGGCTATTTGACGGTGACAAATCAGTCACGAAATAACTACTCTCTGGAATTCCATAATTCTTTAGCTGATACCATTTCCAGTCTAAAACTAACTTCAAATTGATCTACTCTGTCAAAGAAATACTCACTTGACAATCAGAATATAACGAAACAAGTATATAGACTAATCAAACAATAAGCAATGAACGTTAAAGTATTTATTCTGGTTTTGCTTAAATGCGTTGAATTATGCAAACGTAACTGCTAAAAATCAACAGAAGGTGAAAGAGAATAGTGTATAATGAAAACGGGAATTATCAAACCCATTCGATTAAAAATATTCTGAACTATGAAGATTAAAGTGACTATTAAAGTAAAGCGATCAGAAATTAGAAAAGTCAATACAAAAATGATTTTGTGACCATTCTTCTTAGGCGATGTTATTCGATACAACATGACCTATGCAGCGACAAATATACAATAATATTATTTTTGATAACAAGATTCAGGTTTGACATTTGTGATAGGGATGATTTTACTCCAATTAATAAGTTCAAGTTCACCCATTGGTTGATTGATTTTTAACACAAGCCACAATAGTGTTTTTTTACATGATTTCCAAGTTACATTGTTCACCCGAAAACTTAGTTGTAATAGAAAGATATAAACATGGGTAAGAACTATTTCTAACATTCCTAGAAGCAGTTCACAAAGGCTTGTTGATCTGACCATAGGGAAAATTCAAATAAACATTTAACTATTCATTTATATTTAGTTATGAAATAGTTAAAATTCTATCAAATATAAAGTTATTCTTAATCTCTCCTAAAAAAACTTTATTTAAGTTTTCATAGGATTTCATTCAACCAAAATCATGACCACAGAACTGTCTTGACATAAAGTCTCAATCATAAGACGGCTATGACAAGTTGTCCTGAAAACAGCAATTTAAAGATACCTAGTAGCCCATATCATATACCTCAAATTCTCACTTCCCAAATTTACGCTAAAATAGCTTTAACACGTCTTTGCTAGCTTATTCTCAAGAGACGTTTAAACAATTTTAAGCACATTTATTGTAGTTTGAGCTCAGAAATAAAGTGTAGCTCTTCAGTAATCACATTTGTCAATAGATCGATATCCATTGAAGTCAACTATTTCATTTTTTTCGTAATTCTGGAAGTTTGATTGTCAATCACAAGCCAGTTAATCATTTCTAAAAAGAAATTTCCACCACAGTAAATCATGCATCTTGTTAGGATAACCACCCGAACATCGTGCTTAATTTAACTGCATTTATGACTTATCACAGGTTATATCTTACAACTAACCAAAACGCGCAGACAACCCTGAGCAACCAACACACTGCAAGTACGAGGAAGACTGGTACACTATTCCTGAAGGTCGACTCAATACTAACTAGGCCAGAACGAAGAGCATGAATACGTGACCAGAGTTCACCAGTCCAAGATCGTTAGTATATTTCAGACATTCATTTAATTACACACAAGATCAGGTCTCAGAACAAACCAATTAAATAACAATACTGACACGGAACAACAACAATAATCATGGGATAACGGAATACTGGAAACACAAATAATCAGTTCTAGGTTATGAGTGAAAAATGCTATAGCAATAATTCACCGTTCAAATAAAAGCTTAGATTTAAAATGACAAGAAAACAATAAAGCCAAAATAATAAATATGTAATCAATATATATATATATATATATATATATATATATATATATATATATATATATATATATATCAATAAAATCGTGGAAGTTTCGACGTGATAGTTAAATTGTGTATTACAACACATCCCTTTTTGAAAATCATTGTTAAGGCCTGTCATTTGAGTTCATTTTGATCCTGGTTGGTTTTCTTGGAATCTATAGTAATGGTCTTAGGGGTGGCTATAATCATTTATCCAGTGTTCTTGTTCATCGATCAACCAACATATTCAGAGACATGGATTTTTTATTGACATCGTCCCTTTCTTCTCGTCTATATGGTCGTATGTAATTGGCCTGTATTATCCATTTCATATTGTTAACATTGACTTCATAAATTATTCCTTTTCTGCTGAATGGGATAATTCCATGAAACCAATCCGTCTTTAGCAGTGAAAATAAGGTACCATAACCGGTTGTCCTGGACAGAATCTCCCCGGCTATCACTAACTTCTCTTTTTGTACAGTTTCCCCATTTTTGAGTTTCGCTCAGTGGTCGTCGTAACATGTGGCTTCAAATAGTTTGACGGTATTTGAGCTTTTCTTCAAAGCATTGCTTCTGACTGAGAAACCGTACCAGCTGTTGTAGGATTCGGTGTTGCTCGGTAAGCAAACAAAGACATTCGTAATATTTTTTTGAATCTTCCCTCCTCCCTGAGCTTTTCGGAATGAAATCTTATAAGTATCGACAAACCGCTCAACCTACCCGCTTAGATGCGAGTGATGTGGAGGAGTCTTGACATGTTTAAATTCAAAAAAATATAAATTAATAGGATTAATCCAATTAAGTCCAGAACTCTAACAATGAACAATTAGGAACTAAAATTCGAAGTACGCAATTTGACATTGTATTGTATTATTAAAATGTCTAAGTGTACATCAAGTGTGTTGGTTATTCACCCCAATGTCGTTCAGAACTCAGGAATGATGAAATTCTACAGATGAAGATTATGAACCATTGCCAGAGACTGTCACTGCCGGAAACGCGAAACAACTAAATATTTGATGTAGTTTATTTAATGTCATCTTAGTTGATGTAGATTACATACAATGTACTTCCAAACATTTGGTAAATGCGTCCATGTTTGTAATTAATGGGCTCTGAAAGATCCAAGTGCACCCTCGACCGTCGATGTGTCGTTATTCCCAGCAGAGAAGTTTAGTTTAGCAAAGAGCGTTGGCAGATTGAGCACATTTGGAGCGTTTTGATATATAATCTTATTTCGACATCAGTGTTTGACCAGTATATATAAATTCTGACCAATGCTTTCATCCGGACAATACCTGGATATGAGGAGTGAAGTTGGGATAGAACTTTACGACACGAACATATGGTACAACTAGACGGTTTCCAAAACAAGGAAATTTATCCACAACACATTGAGTTACGTCGCCGAAAATATCCTCGTCTATTTGCATTTAACTGTAGAAAACAGCCATATAAGAAATAACGAATAATGCTCTGAAGCTTACTAACTGTTTTTTGTATTGCAATTTCTACTATCTGGTTAATATGTTATCCCAGTAATACAGCGGCGATGACAATATTTTCATTTTCGAACTTCTGCCTCGCAATTTATCTGGGTAGAGTACTGGCTGGACCAAACTTTGTCGTATATTTATGATTAATTTTAAAGACATGGGCGAATTACATAACTGCCGAAAGTTGAGAAAGGTTAGCAGTATGCACCAGGATACAGGACTTTGATTAAAAAACAAAGGGTTTTCGGTCTGTAAACAATGTAAATGGATACCCATAAATCATTTTCTGCAATTTTTGGTAGTGAACATCAAACTCAACTCTTCCTTTTCTATCTGACAATAATTTCGTTCCGTCACATTTGGAGAGCTTGAAGGATGAGCTATAGGTTTTTCCCTACAATCTGGAAAACAATAGCTGATAAAAGCACCAGCATCATAATTAAAAGCATCAGTGGCAATAATTGTTTCCAGTTTTGGGTTCTAATGAGTCAGTAATAAATAAAATTTAACGGGAGGCGCAGTGTCCGTATAGTCGGAAAAAAATACGCTATATTATCAAATTATGCCCAAAAGTGGTCGTTATGTCATTAAATCAGTCAGTAGAGGCATTTGTTTAATGCGATGTATATTACCTGGATCCAGTCGACGACCATGCTTATCGAATATAAATCCAAGACAATTAACGGATTCAGGAAATGGTTCACATTAACGTTTTGCGGTTGAAAACCAGACTCCTATACTCTTGTATGTAGTTTATCCAAATGGGACGATAATTCTTCTTTAGATGAGCCTAAATCAGTAATAACATCCAAGTATGCTTCAACATCATCGAGATTCAATATCGTGGTATTCATTAAGTGTCGAAAAATTTGTAATAAGAGAACAATCAAGTACATGGGAAACATCAGTTCACGTAAATATCACATCCGTCACAGTTTAAACTGGTATCTAGATTTCTGTAGTCGATTAGGTTCGCCATTTGTCTTTCCGACTGTGTATTGGATATGGACTCAGCAAGATCTACAATGTGCTCGATAGTATTGGAATTAACGGTGGAAATTGGAACAGTCTTATCCGGTTCCTGGGATTGTATTTGACCAGCATGTCGGTTGTACGTATTGAAATCATTGATGTCTGGAATTTAAACGATAGATTTTCCAATACTATCCTCCCCCCACAATATAATGTTGGATCTTCATGTCTCCAAGTTGCAAATAATGTTGCTCTACTTGGAACACATTACTCACATTAACTCGAGGATCTATTAGAAGTGACTTCATGTTGAGGATAAACAACACGACATGAAATCATCCGAACTGTAATTAGGTTTGAATTTAATTTGAACTTGATCACATTGACTTCCTTCTACAAAAAACTAGTTAAAGGAATCTTATAGAAGTACGACTTAGCGAACCCTTTCAAAATTTTGTCAACCTGGAGGTTGGACCATCAAGAAGTTCGCTTGATTACGAACTCTTTAAAACCATAAATATCCTGACTCTTGTTCGGCTCATCATGATGTCCACCAATTATTATTTATAGCATCAACCTTCTTTCCTCAACTTGCTCATATTGATAATGTAAGTCAAATTAGGCATCTTCTGTATGTTTCATTATCTGTACTTCTCCCACTGCTCAGTAAATGTTTAATATCTGTCATTTTGGACTACATAATGGAGGAAGACTAAGGCAAGGAATCAACGAGGACAGATTATTTTGGGACCAATTCAGATATTGTTACAGGAACACGTTATTCCGATGTTTTACTTATTATGCCTAATTTCGACGAAATCTCATATATCATTAAGTTCCTAATGATAATCTATGGTGATGATGCCGAAAGATGATCAGAAGTGGAGGAAAGAGCGCTGATAGACGTAAATACATATTTGACGGGCTTGCTAAGATGTCTAAGTCGACCGGGAGTGTCAATAATTTCAATAAAGTGGAAGCTTCAGTGACTTATTTCTGTCTCACAACAGTCTTGGGGCAATCGCAGTTCATGACCTTAAAACCGCAGTTAACTGCTTTTCGTGTAAGGTTAGAGTATTCAAAACCTCACTAAGTTAGATGGTAACTTTGATATCCTGGAAAGAGCATAGAGAACTTGCTACCCATGTGATCCTGGAACTCCAAGACTTGTCATACACAAGGAGGCTAGAAAAGTTAGATCACTTTACAGTGATCTTGGTCAAAATAACTCACGAAGGATATCAGATAAGCTAAAGTGGAGTGTGAAATAAATCCTATCGGTAATAGGTTTTATAGCCTGTCACTGAACTCTTGGGACATATTACTAGAAGAAATTGTGTCCTCGCCTGCAAATGATTAGACACTTATCGGAGCTTGCTAGGGACTTACCTATATAATTAGCCTTCTGTTCCCAACAAACAAGTCTGGGTTATAGTGCTCTTTTTTTGAAGAACTGTTATGTAACCTACTGAAGTAATGGATTTTGAAGTGACTAAAGCTACTCCTTGTTTTTTCATTTAAGTACTTAATTCAATATAGAATACTCATAACACAAAGAACCACGGACATCATATATATGTTTTTTCAAAGCTTGTATTCAGAAGTTTTAGGATTTTACTTGACATAATATATTCATTTGGTTGAACTTGAGTCATTGGCAATTTGTTCGTAAAGCTGAAACTTTGCGGGTGCCTTGAGTTTGGCCTTACGCGCCTGATTTGTCTCCTTACCCTTCGTTTTATGCCTTTCTCCCTGCATTTCATGTCTCCTGTCGTTATAACTAATATTATACACAAATTTAAAGGTTCGTTTTACTTACAAATCAGGTATGCATATCAAGAAGAGACTTCGCCGCTACATAAGTAACATTATAAGCTTTACTAATTCCCACACTCGAAACACGCTTCGTGATCGATCTGCTGATTTTTATGGTGAGATATTCTGAATAATGATGTCGATTCTTTACTTGGATTTAGGAATTGTCATGTGTTTACTTGGTCTAATTCGCTTTTCATGTGCTTCAACTTCTTAGTTCCGGTAGAGAATTCCAGTAATTCTCGCACCGAGTAGTGGATTACTGGAATTCTCTACCGGAATACGTAATATCAGCACCGTCCGTTAATATATTCAAAACGAGATTGGACCTCCACAGTATTACAAACTGCAAGGATTAATATAGGTCGACAGACCTATCCTTATTACTGAAGACTGAAGACTGGTGTACACTATATATGTACGTACTGTGTTCATCAATGGGTTTGCAGGTCAAGCTAAAGAAAATAACGCAACGCAGCAATAATTTAGTTTTAGGGCACTGAGTGTCTTTTTGTAAAAGAGAATATTGGCAGATCCACTGTGAAAGACGTGGAACTGTATCCGTTTGGGAAGCTAACGGAAGGAATACGTCTGTTTTGTCTAGGTGCCTAAAAATTGCATTGACGGAATAACTGATCTTAAACCAAGGAGAATCGGGAGTTTAGGCATGGACGAAGTGGGTGTTCCGTAGCATATGTATGTATCCTGCAAGCAAGTGGCGGAACTATGCTTGATGGGTGATCCAATAATATATGAGATAGAGACTAAGATTTTTTGCATGAAATTTATTCTTCCATATAGCTATATAGAATTTCAGCTGTGTAGTTGATGTCAGTTTGTGCGTGAAAACTCTAGCTTTTAGCTGTAATTTTTGATCTTGATCCGTTACACTGATAAGCTCACTTGTGGTCACTATGGTTCTGTTCGAAAGTCGTCCATAAGTCTTGGTCTCTCCACTATCGGGTCTGTCGAATATCTTATTAAATGGGAACAAAAGACAACTATTGCCTAGCTTTGATACCTTCCTATTCCCATACGTCGCTGTTCGTAATCAGTCCATTCTGTAAATTGATTCATATCTAAACTGTTCTTGGTCCCCTGTGTTCGCAAACTTCGGTTAGAATGTGTAGGTCACGACAAAAGAGAATGTCGCTGATCTCTCAAGCACATGTTTGTCTACCTGCTTCGGTTTGAGCTCGGGTAATATTCCAGCCGTCACACATCCAATGATTTGTGTGGCGCATACGTATTTGGTGCTTTCTTGTACTAATGTTTATGTGTTTAGGTAAATAAATAAATGCTTGTCCACTCTACTATGAGCCACATGCTTGTGTAAGAATGATTCATCGGTCTTATTACCATCTGATTACCACATTACACGGTTGAATAATATCTATGCTATTATTTGTAGCAGATACTTTTAATGGTGTTATCTATTTTAATCCGAATTTATTTACACACCTTTCTTCACCTTTTTGGGAATTAGCAAATGAAGTTACAGATGAATTGGTTGATCTCATGCGTAAAGTTTGGCTTCCGATTGTTGGTCCTGGTTATGAAATCATAGTGAGTATTTCCATAACGTATATGCTTTTTCAAGTCTATTTTGTTGATTGTTAAATATTTCCAAGTTACATTTTAATGTCCTAGTCTGTAAGCCAAGTCGAAATGAAAAACGCTTAGGTGGGTCTTATAGCATTCCAGACTAAGGAACAGATAACGGTGACCCTGCGCTGAGATTTTTCTCAGATAACCGATTAATTCTTGGAAGTACAAGTTTTAAAGAAAAGGAGAGATATTCTTAACCTAGCGACCCAAATATAAATACAATGATAAACACAAATAGATTATATCCCTATCAGCTATCGTTTAAACAGATCAATAGAAGGCTGCCGCTCCTTCTGGAGCACATGTTTGGATTCCGACCATACCCTAGTGTGCGGACGCATTTCCAAACGTTCTACTGAACGTAAAGTCATACCAGAAAGAAGACTCCCTACGTATTAACTCGAAGCTGGAAAGGTCAATAACACATTTTTGAAAGCGGTGGCTCGATGGTTGAGGCTTTCAACTCCTAGTCACTAGGTCCTAGGTTCGATCATCACCTAACATACCTCGGTTTGGGCGACCGAGTACTATCACCAACCCTCACACTTAGAGGGTGAATTAATTTAATTTCAATTCAGGGAAAAATTAACTAAACAATCAGTCGATCGTAGATTTAGTCTTATCTAAATGGTCTCATTTGCTGGTCGTCCCAATTTATGAAAATGTAGACGTAGACGTGTAGACTAAATATTCACTCTTCAGATTTTAAAATATGGACGTGCTTACCGTCGTTTAACTATAGTTGTATTTCTCGACTTCGAGGCAGCATTCGCTTCTATTAACCTAAAGGTTCTGTGCTAATTTTTATCATTGAAAGACGTACCAAAGAAGTACATAAACATTGTACCAGTTTCCTACTCCAGTACTATTGATGGAGTCAGAGGTCGTGGCTAACTGTTGTGTTTACGGAGTCCTTAACTAACTTATGCTTTGTACTAAAACCTCGAATCTAATGGCTCATAGTAAGAACGCAAAGACTGGTGGTATAAATCCTTTTTGAGCCACAAATAAATAAAATTTATACCTGAAAACACTGCTTGGTCTACGATTTATTTACACTCAGATTCGCATCCGTATTTCTATAATTGGAAGTGAGTAGTACTTGACATCAGTTCATCAATGATTTTCCACATGAATATTTGTAATGTAGTGATAAAACTTCACACTGGCTAAATTTTGCTATTTTGGTCCTATCATATCAAATTGTCAACCCCAAGTGGTGTATATCAGGAATGTCCGCTGTCCCCTTTTTTACTTAACTTCGTCACAGGTGTTCTACTAGAAGTAACACTTTCTTTTAAAGGGTTAGTTTCCCAGGAACTTTACTTATCGACTTCGAATACACGGATAACATGGTCTAGCATCAAAAGGGCTTGTATACTGCGCATCAGTTCACTTGTAATATCAAGTGTATGTTAAATATGAGAGTAAAATATGTGCTTAGGCTATAGGCTTTTGATCAAACTTGCCTTTTCTCTCCTTTTCTTTCCAATTGCTATTCATTCTCTTGATATCTTCTTCCAATCCCCTCCACAATGTGTTCCTTGGTCTTCCTTTTTGCCTTTCTCTCTTCAGGATTCCAAGCTAGTGCTTGCCTCGCGATGAAGTTTGGTGATTTCCGCAATGTTTGTCTTATCCACCTCCAACGTCTTTTCCTAATTTCCTCTTCGGCTGGAATTTGTTTTGTTCTCTCCGACAGTAGGTTTTTGCTGATGGTACCTGGACAACGGACATTGAGTATCTTGCGTAGACAACTGTTTATAACTACTTGTACATTCTCGATGATGGTTGTAGTAGTTCTCCAAGTTGCAGCTCTGTGCGATAGAGCTGTCTTGACGTTTGTGTTAAAGATCCTGACTTTGGTGTTGGCTGACTTGTTTTGAGTTCCATATATTCATCAGTTGTAGGAATGCGACCCTTGCTTTGCTAATCCTCGCCTTTACGTCCCTTGTGTGTTGAGACCTACTGCTGCAGAGACTGATGCTGCACTGGCTGTCTTTACCTGCATTGGTAGGTGTTTATGGGATAGAAAAACTAGGTCATCTGCGAGATTCAGGATCTAAAATATCCGTGCTCTGCTTGATATATGGAGGTCTTCATAATCCAGTCGGCCACCAGAAATGCGACAGTAGATAGCTTTGTCTGATACTAGTCTTCACTTAGATTACGTACGTGAGCTGACCTCCATGCACGACTTGTAGTGTAGTCTGTTGTAAGAATTCTGTACGAAATTGACAATATTCTCATGTACACCATAGTGTCGAAGAAGCTTCCACAAAATTCTCCTATCCACACTATCAAATGCTTTATCATAGTTAAGAGGATTGATGTATGGCGACCAGTTACATTCACTTGATCGTTCAACAATGATCAATAGTGTCGCGATGTGGTCTGTAAACTATCGATCCTTACGGAATCCGGCCTGTTGTTCTCGAAGTTGAGCGTCCACTGAATCTTTCGTCTGGTTCAACAACACTGTTGAAAACTTTTCCTGATACTGATAGTAGTGTGGTACCTCTGTAGTTCTCACACTTACTGAGTCACCTTTCTTTGTTACTTTGATGAGGTATCCCACTTTCCAGTCTATCGGCACTTGTTCATCCTCCTAAATCCTCTTGAATAGGATGTGTAACAGGTTTGCAGTTACTTCTATGTCTGACGTCAGTGCTTCAGCTTGTATGTTGTCTGATGCTGCTGGTTCTCCACTGTTGATTTGTCTGGTGGCTATGCTGATTTTTCCTATTGTTTGTGGGTTGACATCTATAGAGAGGTTTGTGTATGCTGCTTCGATGTCTAGTGGTTTCAGTGAGTCTGGTCTATTTAAGAGTTCTTCAAAGTGTTTTACCCACCTAATCCGCTGTTCTCGATCGTCAGTGATTGGTTCCCTATCTTTGATAATGCTCCTTCACTCTCTCATTTGCTTCTGTGTTCGGTTTGTGCCTCGTCTTTCTTTGCTCTTGTTTGGTTGTGATTGCTGTTTTCTTGTTCGTGATTTGAATTTTGCTACGGGATATCAACAGGCATCCATTTTTCATGAAAAGCAAACCGCCAGAGTGTTTGGAAAATAATCCTTAATAAAATTATCTGTTAAGGTTATTTCGACCACGAAAGAGACTAGACTGTTACAAATTTCTTATGAATACAAAGACATGGATCGTTTGCTTGAATCCTTATGGCTCCTATATGTAAGGAACAAGATCAAACGCTATATGAAAAACTAGTAGGTATTGGATAAATTAATGTCAATGATTTGTTCTTATCTACTTTCATCTATATTAGGTTTTACATATTCATAAATCTCGCGGAACATCAAATTTGGGCATAAGCATTGAAGGTGTGACCTATGTGGCAGAACCAGATTTCGATCATGAAAATTTATCACCTACAACGGTTACAACTAATAGTCAAATTGAAGATAAATCTAATTCAAGTAGTAAACTGTTACCAAATGGTATGGCAAGATCTGCTCATTCAAATGATATCAAGTATAGTGATATGCCATCACGCCATTTCGTCCAATATATTGTACCTGATGGTCTGGTCGGTAGTTTGGGTGTTGTGCAAAAGGGTGATGAGTTACTTCAGGTAAGAACATACCTATTTTCGAGGGAAAAATCACGGTTGGCTTTTGAGTACCGGGTTTAAGAATTACTGTGTAGTGTAATAGCCTAGAGCCGCCAATCAGAAGCAGCGCATTATCGATCGGACTAAGGACGCGTAAACACGTGAGAGGAGCCTAGAGTTCTGATTGGCCCTGGTTTCTGTCTAGTCCAGCCAACTAAATCCAGAACACCAACCCGAGCCTCTGCGATATGAATTGTGTATTTCAAACATACTCTGTTTATATACCAATCAAGCAGACCACATTGTACCATAAAATACAAAATAACATTTGTACAAGATTTGGCCAAATGTGGCTGTGAATGTGGGAGGCAGTGACTAATAGGGAATAATTCGGACAAAGCGGACGCCCCCTCCACCTACGCCTACATGAACATCAATTAGCAGTCAAACGCCATGATATCTCTTCACTTATATCAATACACGTGGATAACTACGGACATTCATTCGATTGGCAAAATGTAGAAATCTTAGACAGAGGAAACTCCAAAAACACCAGAGAATTTTTAGAAGCTTGGCACTCAGGTCAATCAGCAATCAACAAACATATTGAAATTAATCCAATTTATCAACCAATCAGGAAAAGCATGCATAAATATAGGAACAAAAATCAAACCAATGGGAGACACAACCAAAACAAAGAAGTAAACAATGATAAATTTAAGGTCAACAAGAACCAATCAACATCGAGGTGCACAGAACAAGCTGTGAAACACATATGGAGAAATTCGAACACTTCACTTCTATCTGAAGTTTGTGCTGATGATGTCGTTCAGAAGAACGATGAAAGCTCCACGACCAAACCATCCAGCTCAGAGAACAAAACTCCACCAAAAAAAAATCGCATAATAACAGTTCATAGGTTAAAATAAAGCTTATGATAAGAGAGACATGAATATGAATAGTTAATTAACCATTATGCGATAAAAATAAGCGTATAGTATTGGTCCACAAATAGATCCCAAAAAATTACCACTCATTATTCTTATCGGGACACAACAGTAGTCAGTGATGTCATGTCATTGACTTGTAGAAAGCCTGAAAAATTATATGGTTTCATCTTGTTACCCATAATTAGTCTTGTGTTCTTTAGCTTCTGGAACTCACATTTCACCCAATTTAGAATTTGTGAGCTGGATGTACGTATTCCTTATTGTACGCTTAGCGTCTATTCTCATCTGTACGTTAAAAATCACACACCGTATCTACGCAATTAGGACAAGCGTTTGACTTCATTTCACGAGTTTATTCTTAATGTATCGACCACATTTGTTAGCTTGCAAAACATTTTTTATTTTGTATCAGTGATATTTGTGTTATCCACTTCGTCTACATGATTCGTTTATCAGTGACTATCGGTTCTAAGTCATTTAGTTTATCAGTATAACGGTTTGCGGTGATTGCAGTATTTTCCCAGTTGAAGTCACGAGCCGATCTAAGCTAGACCACTACTGAAAACCTAAAAGCACTAGCATAGGACTCCTCAGCAGTGCTCGTCCACAATCTCGCATGCGGGACCCAGGGCCTTCGATCTCGTGCTCAAACAGTTAACTTCTAGACCACTGTACCAGCATCTTACAGTGTTAATGTCCAACATTAGTCAATCCATGATCTTGCGCAACCTTCCATCCATTGCCTGAGGTGGATATCTGTCTCGCATCCGACACGGATTGGACTTGGTCACGACTTTTCACCAAAACTCCATGTAGTTTATTCATTTATTTTGTGAATTAATTCGAAGATCGTGCGACCTTGGTAACATCTTTGATCATAATGTTTAGCAAATGCAGACTGATGAAACAGTATCTGATAATGAACGATAATTTACAGTTGTAACATGACAACATTTATGATTTTTATGGTCTTATAGTTATTATTAATGGGGTTTTGATTTTTTAAATGGGTAACCTAATCTTATTGAATATTCCTTTGATCTTTATGTCTGTGTTTTACTTCCTCGTCTTGAGATATTTTCATTACTGGTATTGATGGTGCTTAATGTTTCTGATTTTCGTATACTTTTCAGGCTAATGGTCATCGTATACATGGTACAACGCATACTAGTACTCTTCGTTATTTGCGCAATTTACCATCACGCATTGAATTAGTCTTTGCTCGTAAAAAGTCTACATATGAGAATGGGGGTGATGACGTGTTTGGTATTACGGACGGTAAGGATCGGTTGATTGATGTCGCAGGGGAATCAATACTTGAAGTAGCTGCTAGTGAAATTGGTTCTGTAGATACTGGTTCATCTATGAGAATAGTGAATACTTACGATAATGTTGATCGGTCAATTTATTCTAGTCCAGTATCGCCGGCTACGGCCCATAAACGTGTCACCGAATGGATTCGAAAATCTCAAGGAGATTTAAGTGCGACTATTGACTATTCATCTTCACCTGAATCTTCTGTAACTAAACAAACTAATAATAAATCAGAAAGATTCAATTATTGTGATTTAAAAGTAAGTACTTATTTGCAATACATTTACTGAAATAATTTTTGATATTCTAAAGACCAAATTGTCATTAGAAGAAAATATGCATCTCGTCATAGCTGTATGTGTTTAATAGCTGTTATGTCTATCTAGTTAAACTTTAGGATCAACTATTTTCTAACTCCAATTATTGCAACATATTTTACATTTTTTAGATTTGTTTTAATTAACTTTCCATTAATGTTATCCATATAGTGTATTTCCACACTTTTCCAAATACCTGTGAAGCTCATTTTTAACGATTTCAAACAGAACTATAACATCAGTTACCATATATTCCCTCTTTTCTGTTTTTCGTAGAAACAAGAGACAATTACATTTGAATCGATGCGTCATATATATATATATATATATTGCATCTAATGAAGCGAGTGTTATTGTTATTACTCCTGTTCACATAAAATAGATGGAACATAGATAGCAGTGGAATTCAGAACGTGAGTTTCATCCTATTTGGAACTCGTCAACTGGATGTACCTACATCCCAGTGTTTATTTTCACTTTGGGATTCAAACCCAGTACCTTCTCGCTCCAAACATCAACGCGCTATCCACTTAGTTACTGACTTCCAATAACCACTAATTTGTGCAATGGGGATGGATTTTAATCCAATTTATAATGGTTATGATTATCTCTTTTTTGATACTTTGACTGGAATTCTCTTATTCCCAGTTGATTATGTCCATCGTATGTGGGTCGTGTCTATATAACCATTACGATAAAAGTTTACATAGACTGGCCAAATTTCAGTCAAAGTATCAAAAAAGAGATAATCATAACCATTATAAATTGGATTAAAATCCATCCCCATTGCACAAATTAGTGGTTATTGGAAGTCAGTAACTAAGTGGATAGCGCGTTGATGTTTGGAGCGAGAAGGTACTGGGTTTGAATCCCAAAGTGGAAATAAACACTGGGATGTAGATACATCCAGTTGACGAGTCCCAAATAGGATGGAACTCACATCCTGAATTCCACTGCTGTCCATGTTCCATCTCTTCTGTGTAAACTTGTGTCATAATGAGTACATCGAGGCAATTCACATATATACCAACTAATACTGATCAAATTTTAGTTAACATATTAACAATGGGATAATCCAAACTATTAAAAATAATAATAATAATATTATTATTAAATGATTCCTTGGTCAATATTTACCGAAATAAATTCTTTCATCTAGATAGTTCGGTAGGGATCGAATCACTTATCGATAGTTTTCATTGGTGTGATTAAATATTAGTTGTGCATAAAATGAGTATTTTGGAAACTAGTCCTCCGATGTTCTGTTAGGAAGAGGTGACTTGTAGAGTTACCCAAGTTGTGAATTAGTCAGCTACCTACTGATGACTTTGGATGACTATTAGACCATACTGTGAATTGATTGAAGTTAGGATGTGTAGACTTTTGGCTCATGACTTACTAGTTATATCATTTCGTTTTCTTTATTGGAGTGGTTGCTTCAAAGTCCAAAGTCGACTACATACACCTGTACTTATTAATTGGGGTAAGTTAAAATCGTTGCAAGGAATGAAAGTTACGGGTCCAGTGTTATGCTGCGCGACCGTTGGTTAACTGGTGAAGAACTCACTAATAGGACAGAGTAGCTGTTCTACTCTCTTTGTTTTTCCAGCTAATGTTAATTTATGATTACAATAGCTTTTAATTGTTTTTTTACCCTCAAGATTGTATTAAACTGTGAAGTTCGTAGTGATTGCTCGGTGGTTAAAGCACTCTGCTTGAAACCAATGAATCACAGGTTTTTTCTTCACTTTGAGCAATCAGCTAGTATCCTCAGCTCTCACACAAAAATATGTGAAACCAACTAAATAGATCTATACTAAGTAAATGTTTTGCTACTTTAAAGATTGAATGTTTATACTAATTAACTTGATTAAATTTAAAATGTACGAATAAAATACAGTTAGAGTGTAGCATAGGGAAAAGCGTAAAGCAACCGCGGCAAATTTCCTGCCAATTCATAGCCTGTCAGAGAACACCTTTAGTAAGTGAATAGTTTATAGTAAAGAAAGCAATAATGTGAAATGTAAACAGACTTTATGTGACCATTAAATCTCGTAGTCTTCTATTGATTACTCTGCGATGTATAAATTCGTCCATGTGAATATAGATTACTTGTCTTCTCGAATTCTCCCGACCGTAGCTGCTAACTTGACGCAGTGGTTGGGCTCGCCTATCGTCATGACACAACCATCGTTCATCTGACCTCACTATATCAAAATAAAGAACCAACTCGATTCACACTTCATCTATCTGGAGGCCCTGATGCTGTTTCTCGTGGCCTCGCCGGCGTAGGTATAGCATTGAGTCCTAGGGCAGAACTAGCTCTCTTCAACTGGATCCCAGTAGACAGTCGTTTGTGCGCTGTCCGACTGAACGGAACAGTAAGAATCCGGAAAGATAGGAACACTCGTCGTTGCCTCTTCGTCGTCTCTGCCTATTCTCCCACTGACTGCAGCTCAGATGATGTAAACGATGAGTTTTACAGAAAGCTTTCGGACCTTCTCCGAAAAGCTAGACGCTTTGGTGTTTTAATAGTGGTCGGTAACGTTAATGCTCAAGTAGGTAAACTAAGCGAAAGGGAAAGACACCTGAGTGGATTTTATGGTGTCGTTGCTCAAAGAACAGATAATGGCGACCGTCTGTTGCAGCTATGCTCAGATAACCGCCTGTTTCTTGCAAATACTAACTTTAAGCATAAGGAAAAATATCTTTTAACATGGAGACCCTAATTCATCCCAACGTTGGACCCAAATATCTCAAATCGCTATCAGCCACCGATGGAGGGGCTTGCTTGAAGACTGTCGCTCATTCTGGAGCACATGCTTAGATTCAGATCATGATCTAGTACGAGCGCGTATCTGTCTGCGTCTTACTGGACATAGGAAAGACGCTGCAAGTAAACCTCTTGGGGCTCTACTTAATGATAATCAAGCTAAGAGTATATTTCAGGAACAACTAGGAAAACAGTTAGGCAGCCATGTATGTGATGCCTACCCCGAGGCAGCATGGAATGATGTCCGAAAAGCTGTGGAAACAGCAGTGATATCTGCTAGTACGGTAACCCGTAAGGTTAGGGAGCAACACAGGATCTCAGCAGCATCTATCGCACTGATAGATGCTCGGAAACTCATTCCACCTGACTCTGAACATAATGAAGAGCGGAGTCAGCTTAAGCGCAAGCTGACAAGAAGTCTACGTAATGATCGTAAACAGCGGTGGATAGTGAAAGCAAGAGAGATGGAAAAGGCAGAGGCAATAGGTAACAGCAGACAATTATTCAGACTTGTTAAGGAGACCGGTATTAGGGACCCGACTGTTAACGAAACACTCTCAGAGAAAGATGGACATATTATACATTCTCAATCCAGGAGATTGGATCGATGGGCAGAACACTTTAGGGATCAGTTCAACTGGCCTTCAGACACACTTTGGTTTCCCACGATCTCCAGCCAACCTGAATGGCAAGTTAATGCAGGTCCTCCGACTCTTTACGAAGTTGAAAAAGTTATAGGAAATCTGAAGCGTGGAAGAGCAGCAGGCCCTGACAGGTTTACTCCTGAGATTTTTAAGGATGGTGGTCCAGTATTAGCAGTGAGATTAACTGAGGTCTTAGGTAGAATTTGGGAACTGGACGTAATCCCATCTGACTGGTCTCAATCACTGATTGTGCCAGTCTATAAGAGAGGACACAAGTCCTCTTGTGACAATCACAGAGGAATCAATTTGACTAATATAGTGTCTAAAATATTAGCTTCAATAATACTTCGACGCCTAACTAAAGCTCGTGAAGAGCAGACTAGAGAAAACCAGGCTGGTTTTCGACCTGGACGTGGTTGTATAGACCAGATATTCACACTACGTCAGGTTCTAGAACATAGACACAAATTCAGACGCCCCACAATCATAGTATTTCTCAACCTTAAGGCGGCATTCGACTCTGTTGATCGTGAGGTTCTATGGCAGTGTTTGTCACTGAAAGGAGCACCAAAGAAGTACATTAACCTTGTAAAGGCTCTCTACTCGAACACAACTGGTCGAGTGGGAGCTTATGGCGAACTGTCATCAGAACTGATTACCTCAAGTAGTGTTCGTCAGGGCTGTCCACTCTCTCCATTCTTGTTTAACTTTGTCGTTGACGTACTTTTAGAGATAACACTTTCCTCGTCTAGATTTCCAGGGGTTGAACTTCTACCGGGAGATTCACTTGTTGACTGAGAATATGCAGATGACATAGTTCTATTTGGTAAAGTCTTCTGACCACTATAAGCAACAGTGTAAGGATGTTCGGCATGCGATTCTCTCCCTCGAAATGCGAAATGTTACTTCAGGATCGGGTTGCATCGACACCCGAAATAATGATAGGGATTGGAGTAGTTGAGCATGTCGACCGATTCACTTATCTTGGAAGTCTCATCAGCCCTTGTGGTCTGGTGTGTGACGAAATCTCAGCACGGATACAGAAGTCTCGACTAGCTTTTGCCAACTTGCGTCATTTTTAGCGTAGGCGAGATATCCATTTATCAACCAAAGGACGGGTTTACTGCGCAGCAGTTCGTCCCGTCCTACTTTATGGTAGTGAAACATGGCCGGTAAGAGTAGAGGATATTCGTAGGTTACTAGTATTTGATCATAGGTGTCTTCGAAACATTGCTCGTATATCATGGGACCATCGAGTAAGTAACACAGTTGTTAGGAAACGGGTACTAGGTAAGGATGGCAAATCGGTTGATGAAGTAGTGAAACTTCATCAGTTGAGATGGCTGGGACACCTGTTACATATGCCCAACGACCGACTACCTCGACGTGCGATGTTCAGTGATATAGGAGTAGGTTGGAAGAAAGCTAGGGGCGGCCAGACTAAAACATGGCACAAGTCTATGAAGTCACTGATAAGTGGACTGAGTCATGTTGGTAGGTGTAGACTACCTGGTTGGGGACCGCGA